TTTTCAATATTCCGTAGATGAAAAAAAAATATTAATAGAGACTAGTTCTAAATTAAGAATTCGTAAGATTTTCTAGATTAAAACTTGATTACGATATAAAATATCTAAACATTTTTTTTAATAATATCACTTCCTCGAGTCTCATCGTCAAGATTATTAATTTTTATATTTTTATTCTTTTCTTATATCTAAATTTAGAATACAATTTTTAGCTTCTCTTTTTTCCATTTTACGATCACATCAGAAAGATTTTTTTATTCCTAAACGCTTACACATGTGCCTGCAAGTGTATTAGAATGTATATTAGAGATGTAGTGACATAAATTATCATAAAAATCTTAATATAATGTTTGGGGGCTCTTCAACTGAATTTGCTCTTTCATTCAATTTTACTTTTAGACGAATAAAACATTATACTGTGGCGCATAAAAACCTTTTTGAACGCTCTTGATTTTAAATTTGATTATACAACTACCGAGAAATACTGTCGAGAACCCTAACAAAAATATCATCACAAGTTTATGCATAAAATACAAGAAAATGAAAAATTCCATGCATTCATGTGGATGACTTTAATGAAGAAAAACATATACGAAGAAAAAAATAATAGCAATTGAAAGTGCCGTGCATCCTCATTGTCATAAAGTCGACAGTCAACGACAAGTGCTTTTGACGGCTTGCTCATGTATACATCAATGAATCATATTGTTGTGATTATGTTACTTTTCTATATTTATACGGAAAACGCTCTCTCGTGTATAAGCGATCTATGGATGTACTTTAATTCACTTTGTTAATGTTGTGAAGATGGAAAACAGGGATTTTAAATGAAGAATTTGAAATCGTAGAGGCATCACATTTGTGCTTCAATCCCTGAACATTTTACTGACTCTTCTTCTTCTTCTTTTCTTCTCATAATGAATTGTTGTCTAAACAAAGTTTGAGATTTACATTTTCACGAATAAAGAAAAGAAGAATCGATATATAAATATATACATTTAAAACTTTAGATCTACGAATCCAATTGTGTTTAACTCTTAATTTTATTTTCTTTATCTTGACTGAAAAGATTATTTTTATTATTAATTGTATTGTCTTCAAAATCATGATTCTAGATGTATGTTGCTAATTTATAAAGCTGTTGTAGAATATTATTTCCCTGTAGATTTTTCTATTGCCATAAAACCAAAGAGTTTGTTCCCTTGCATCCAGCTTGTATCATTCATAAAAGTATATGAAAAATCTTCGCTCTCGTATTAAGTATGTGCCGTGAAATGATGATACACAAAACATGAAAACAGTCGAGTCAATAATTATTAACACAACACTTTTCTCTTCTTCTTTTTTCATTTTCCTATCCTTTCTTTTTGATGTGTGTAGAACTTTTTATTTTCAATTTTTCACGCTTTTTGTTTGGATTTTTTTTTGTTTTTAATCAAAACAACACTTTACTGAATTCTGAATTAATGAAGAGTTAAAGAGATAAGCAAGTATTTAAATTTTTTTTTGGAAAAACTATTAAATTAGTGAAAAACCTAGTTTTTAAATCTATGAAGCAAAATTACTGTTAGGTCAACATTTTAATTAAATTGGGCTTTCTTGTATCCTTAGTATAAAATATCTTGGTACAAATTAGCATCACAGCTGACAATGTTTCTTGCATAATAGACAGCATAACACATGTTTAATCATTCTTCTTCTCGATTCAGTAAGATAATTCCCAAATGATAAATTTGAAATTATTTTCATCTTTTTTCTATCTTACACTCCATTCTTAACGCGCGCGAACGTTTGTCTAATTTTAAAAAAAGTTGAAAGGAAAAACACGAAACATGCCATTAGATGACTGACATACATGATAGTGTTATTGTTGATGTTACTTGTTATTACTCAAGTTGAGTGGAAATGATTTTCAGGAGGGAGAATAGTGATTGTTTTATGTTAAGGTATTTTAGCTACTAATCTTTTAAAATGAAATAAGTCTTGGTATCATTGTTCATGTTGTTGTCAAAATTTTCAAGATAATAACTTTTAAATAAAGACTTCAAAATCGTTGAAAATTTATAATGATACTAGTAAAAATTCCTTTTCGTAATCAAATGGACTTACATTTTCTAAAATTTTCAAAACACATAATTAATGACGACAAAAAAGATTTTTATGACAGTAAAAATACAAGAAAATTTTCTTGTTTCTTTTCCTTCAACAACGCAATTTATTTTAATTTAAGAATTCTTCAAGAGAAATTTATGTGGCTATAAAATTTTATTGTTTTAATGTTTTAATTGCTTGTGTGTATTAAGATGGATATTCGGGAATGATGCACCTGCAAATGCTTGGAAAATTATGTTCTCTTAATTTCTATGATTGTTTCAGGAAGCTCATATTTTAAAATCTTTAAAATTCACATCTGGATCCGATTGTTTAGGTTATACTTTAAAACCTAAATGTCTTAGTGACTATTTGTTTTTAACATAATCATATTATAACGTTATAACCCAACGACTGCAAACAAGAACTCATTTTCGGAAATAGGTACTTCATTTTCGAACTTGATTTGAATTTAAAATTTCCGTTGAAAATATTTGTTTACATTTCTTGGTCTTTATTGAATTTATAAAATTTCATTTTTTTAAAATGGTCAGAAATTGTGTAATTACTGGTTGTAAAGGAAAGAAAACCAATAAAATACCTTTGTTTAAACTTTCAAAAAGCTCTGTGCATAAAGATAAGTGGATTGAATTTCTTAAATTGCATAATATTGAATATTGCTGTGAAAAAAAACATTTCTTGTGTATTCTTGAATTTATTTATAGACAGCTTAATTGTTTTACCTTATGTTCTGATCCTTCCTTTAACCAGAAATTCATCAATACAGTAATTGCACAAATCGAAGTCGATTTTGAACATTGTCAAGATACAATTGATAAATTATTAAAAGTTTTTGTTGAATTTAGAGTAAAATTACAATTTCAAAGTTAGAAGGAATAATTTTGCTTCAAAAAATAACTGTAAAAAATATATTTTTATTGATTCCCTAACGATCATTTATTTTTTAAAAAATTTAATAGTTCGAAACAGTTTGAAATTTTTCGAATTTCAGTTTGAATTTTCCGAATCTAACTGAAGTTTTCTTTGTTTGCAGTCGTTGGGTTATAACTTAGGTTTCTAGTCGAAATTTCGATTGAAGATCATTTTGGGGAAGAGGCTTCATTAAAGGTGAGACGAGGTATCAAGATGAGGATAGGGATTTTAATACCAACCAACAACCTAAACTTTTTAAAATTATGAAAACAAATTTATGAACAAATCCAATGTTAGCAAAGTGAACAGAGTCGGTTACATACAAAAAATGTTCAAAACTTTCGAGCAGTATTTTTAAATCAATTAAAAAAATTAAATTGAAGTTCTAGTAATAATTAAAATATTTAAAATTAAAAAGAAATTCTGTTTTCTTACATTTGAATTATTAAATTTATAATGAATATTCATTTCAAAATGTCAAGTAAAATATTTTTCAATTAATTCAACAAACAAAAATATGCAGAAAAATCTTCTCATTCCCTTGATGACACTTGTAGACAACACAAAAATCTCCTTTTAATTTTTAGCAGCAAAAATGCGAAAAGATTATTGAATGAAATCAAAAGAGCAATCAAAAGTATAGAGTGTATCAAGCACGTGCATGCTGCACAAGTGTCTAATTAGTAATTTTCTTTTCCCTTAAAATCATGCACTTCTGCTCAAAGAAGAAAAATCATTAAATCTTTCATCGACAACGTAGAACCACGAACAAATTTTAAATTAAATTAAAATATAAAAAATTGTCATAAATCAAGTATCGAAATTTTAAATTTGATCATCAAATGCTCTTTTATTATTATGAAAGTCACACAATCAATTTCAACAACACAGTTTTTTTTTCAAGGCGTGGCGAAAAGATAAAACAGCAAAAATGCAAACAAAAGAACGAAAATTCATTTCTATTGTCCTCCCATTTTTCTATTTTTATGTGAAATGGGGAGCTCACAAATACAAGCTTATATCTCACCAACACAAATAAATAAGAATATAAAATTTCCCCCTCATCAAACAAAAATTTTCCGCTTCTCGAATTCAAAGAAACAACAAAAGGAACAACAACAATAAGACAAATATAAAAAAACTTTCTTCTTTTTCTTTTCTCCCCGAAAAAGAACTGAGAGTCGTCAGTAGCACGTAATGCGCAATCACCAACTGCATATTAAGCCGCCCACATCAAGACACTTTCATTGCTTGACGATGAAAAAAATTTTTTTTTATTGTGTTCAACGGTAAAGCACACAAGCATCAACAAATACACCGATGTTACGATGAGAGCGAAACTTCACAGGCTCATGACAATACTTCTATTGTTTTTCTTCGTTTTGATTCTGAAAACTCGGCAACACCTCAAAAAATTGCTTGTTACGCTTCGCTGACGCAAAACAATGGGAACGACAAAGAAGTTTGTCGAATAATTTTAGAAATAAAAAAAAAAAAATACAAAATGACAGAAATGTTTTCATGAAACATAATGAAACTGTTAATTATTTTTTTATATTCGACATTGATTTTTAATGAGGGCAATTTATGAAAAGGAAGGAAAGTTTTCCCCTAAATGTTTAAATATTATTTTTATACTTTGTATGCGGCGATTAGATACTGAGTGGGTGTTTAAGAGCCTCTCGAGCGAAAAATAAGTTTAATGACATGAAAATGAAAATGAAGAGAAAAAATTCGATTTTTTTGTTTTGATTTTCTTATATTTTTAGAAATTTTTTGAAACGAAACAATGCGATTTTATGAAGAAATTTTTAAAAGTCTTAAAACTGTTCGACCAATTTATTATAAAAGGCTAAAGAACTCTTCGTTTAAGCGAAATTTTTTATTGATTTTTATGAGTTTATGAAAGATTTATTAGTCATAAACTGATCAGTTGAGACACTATTTTCTCATTTTTACTTAAAAAAATTGCTTACCGGTTTTTCTGACTGCTGCCTCAATAGATGATCACGAGCCATTTGTAATTGAAGAATCATCTCACTGTATAAATAATATTTCTCTCGTTCTTGTAAATTATCAGGTATTTCAACTTGATTGAGTAATTTAACGGGATCAAATGGTGATTCGCTGTTAAAGAAGATAAAATTATTACCAAAAAATTCTAAAATATTAGTAAAAGTATCAAAACTCACCTCTTTCCTTCACCTTCACCATCGACAGATGACTTTCTACTATCTTTTAATGAACTTCCTCTCATTTTATTCGTCAGCAATTTTAACACATCATTCATTGTTTTCTTTGATGGCACCATTAAATCTTTTTTCATATCAATTTCACTATTATTATTATTATTGTTATTATTATAACTTCTCTCATCAAATTCTCCATCACTTCCATTCTGCTCGCGCTTTATTCTATTCACAAAATTTGCACTTTCATTCATGTGATGATGATGAGGACTTACATTATTATTATTACTATTATTATTGTTATTATTACAACTTTTTAATAAATCTTGCTGGTTTGGTGATAAACTCAACGATGGCACATTGTCATTGGTAAAATTTTCACTTTTTCTACGTTTCGATAAAATATTTTGTAACGAATGTGAATTGTGATGAAAATTGTCTGCTTCACTTCGTCGTTTGACTTTCAATACTTCAACATTCATTTGTGACTCATTTAAGGGACTTAATCGACTTTGTTCGTAAATTTCTGAATTTGATTCTGATTTGATGTTCGGATGTGTATGCGATAAGCTGCTGTCATTATGAACTGATAGGTCCGAGACACCATTTGTTCCGTCCAGCTTGGTAGGTGGTGATTTTCTCTTTGATGACATTATCTGCAATGAAAAAAAACAAATGTTTTCGTTAAATGATTTAAAATAATATTCAGGGAATCAAACATCTTAAAGAAACAACATCTTACAATATCTATTCTCAAATGTACAATAATTTTTACATAAAACATGTTCGTGATTTTTCAACAACAGAAAATCTTTTTTTTTCTTTCTCATTTTGTGACCTAAAAATTTCTCATTTGACAGTATAAGATGCATTGCCGGTGTCTGTTTTCAATATCCTTTCTTTTCTTGTCATGTTTTCTTATTTTCCTTTTTGTTTTATGAAAAAAATATTTTCTGAGAATTTGTAAATGTTGATTTTTGGGAATAACGTAGACTTTTCTAAATCACTTCTTTCCTGAGAAAAATGTTCAAATGTTTCTCTTAAATGCGTGCTTTAGTATTAGAATTAAAAATTATAATTTTTTTCTTTTGTCAACAAATTATTCAAATTTTTTTCTCGATAACCTTTTTGGCTAAATGTTGAGGACCATTGGCGTTTTTGTCTAGTCAATTTGGTCAATTTTCTATACTCAAGATGCCTTAAAACAATTGTTAAAAAATAAGAATGAAGGTTCAAAAAAAAACCAAAAATGTCATTCACGCCTTCTCAAAAAAACAATCCGTGCATCAGTTCTGATATGCATATGCATAAATAATGGGAAAAGAACCTTTTATGTTAAATCTTGCAGTAGTACAAGATACACCAGTAAATGAGAAAATGAGAAAGGAAAAAATTGATAAACAAAAGACATGTGAAAGATAATGACCAGAAAAATTCTTCATTTGTATCTGCTTTTTCTCTTATGTCCTGACATTCCATATGTTTTCCTCGGCATTTCTCTCACACATAAAAATGAGGAAAGATGAGAAATGTCACTATATAATAAGAATATTTACTAAAGTAAAATGCTAAATGCATTTTTTGTTGTTTTGAGAAAGAAAAAAAAGGACGTGGGAAATTTAATATTCTTGGGCATTAGATGAGAAACGGCATTTAAGTGATGAGTGACAAAATGTAACATGACTCACTCTATTTGCCAAGATTCAGGACCAGAGCAGAAGAGTCCGAGGTAGTTCGAACCCGATCCAAGCATAAATTTCTTGATCTATTTCGAAGTTTTTCTTATTACTCAGCACGTTTCAACTCATCAAATAGAATTTTCCCACTCAATTACATAACAGTTCTTCCTTTCATTCTTTATTGAATTTTAAATTGACTTTTTTTATTTTTCACTACAAAGGAAAAATTTATATTTTTGAAAAAAGAAGAAAAGAGAATAAAGAGAGATCAATTTTTATCACCGGATGACATGTGCGCATTTTTTGTGTGCTGATGCTCCAGTTTCTTTGACTTTTTTTTCTTATTCTTCTCATCTTTCTTGTGTCTTTTTATCTTTTCAGTGCCAAATGGAGAAAAAAATTTTTATTTTAATTTCTTTTCTTTTGTTTCAAAGAGAATTTTTATTTTGATGATCGGAAAAGGAAAAACAGATAGCTTTTTTTTCTCAAATGATTCCTTTTATTGTTTTCATGTGGTTTAATCTCATCTGCACTTTTGTGTTCTTTTTGTAGTTTTTATGATAATTTCTTTTTGTATTCATCAAAGAATTGTTTTGTTTTGATTGTTGCTGGCTCAATTAGGACCCGAATCTTCATATTTGTACTCGAGAATAGAAGTTCATTAAGCATCAGAAATTTTAAAACAGAGTTGGAACATTTTAAATTTTCAACTTTGAGCCAAAATTGTGATTAAAATATTTAGAACTAAAAAGAATACTGAATTTTAAATCAAAATTAAGAACCAATGGGGATGCCAACTCTGATTGATATTTCTGTTTTTGTAAACATATGAATAAATGAACTGATTTTTCTCTGTTCATTATTTACTTAATTTTTCATTGAATTCTTGTTCGTTTGGCTCATGTTTATTTCTTCATACACATCCACTCCATATACTTAATACAATTATTCAATTATCATTTAAATACCATATTACAATAACAATAACAATTGAAATGGAGAGAAGAAAACCACTTCAGTCAGTGAAGCCACTCTACAAAGGAACAATAATAGCTGTAAGAATAATAAATATGTAGAATGTCTAAAACAACAACAAGAACAAAACGAAAAATAACAAAAGCACTTGGAGAATTGAAAACGATCATCGCAAGTGAAACACAAAACAGATGCTCCAGATCATCCGGGATGGATGTAGATTTTTTGTAGAAAAAACAAAAGGAGAAGATTTTAAAATGTAAAAAAAACAATGAAAGAAAAACAAATGATTTTTTACTGAATGAAATCAATTCAAGCACTCAATAAAAATAGATGAACTCAATAATAAAGGAATTTTTAATCATAAATTATTGTGCGTGTTCACTGAATTATTCAATTCGTGTGTTTGCTTTAATAAGTTCTTTTTCGTGGTTTATTTTACTCAAAATTTGGTCTGTTATGCACTTTTTTATGCTTTAAATCGAGGCGATAATCCTATTAAATTTGATTAATTTTTTCATATTTTAAGGATTCATAAAGCTTAAGTGAAGTTGAGAAGCACTCAACAAAGTTAATTTGTTTACGAGTTCATCAAACAATAATCATGAAATCTTTTTATTTAAAATTTTCATGATCATAAAGCAAATTTAAGGTTTATTAAATTTTAATATTTTATTGTGCACATTTTTCTCTGAGAAAATGAAAGTGAAGACAAAAATTTGTTTAAATAAATTATTCTATTAGAATAGAATTCTAAAATTTTGATTTTGGTCCAAGACAAACAAAAACTTAATATGTCATAAAAAGTGAAAAATTAAAAAATATGCTTAATTGTTGGTCATAAATTCAGATAAAATTATGATGTGGCGTTGCTATTGTGACAGTTTTAATTAAGTGGCTTTTTGTGATTTAAAAAATAGCAATTTTTAGAGAAAGAACTTGGGAGTTAAAAAAATATGAGTTAGTGGAAATAAAATATATATTTTTAGATTAATAAAGGTTATTGTATTTTGATGCGGTTGGGCTGCCATATAAGTGATTTTGGAGAAGAAAATAAGAAAATCCCATTCTTCATAATTAAATAAAAAAGATTTTCTGACTTTATTTTCCAACAAATTTTTTTACTTAAAATAATCTTCATTATCTTATTTTATGTATACATAAAAGAAGTCAGATTTACATGAATATAACAACAGAGGAGAAAAGAATGAATGAAAAGAAAAGTAGCGAGAGAATGAGCGATGAAAGCGTGATGTCATTAAAATTCATGCAGCACACGCTTTTCTTAGGGCTTCACTTTTTTCCCTCAAGCATCTTTCTTCCTTCGTGTTCTATTTGATCTTCATTCAAAATAACAACAGAAGCATTAAATGAAATTTACATCAATATTTGACTATAAGTGGAAGTAACAACAACAGAATTGATTATTTTAAATATAAGAAAATTTAATTTCTTTATTTTTAGTGCACACCGTCGTTTAATTTATGAATATTCTTTCTCCTATTCATTTGTTGGAATCTAAAATAAATGCATCAGGTCTTAAAATCACAAATAAGAGCGGCACTTGCCAATCGAGAACAGGTGTATCGGAAATACGTGGGGGAGATGAAAAATCGTTTCATTTATTCTATTCTATGATACAATGCAGTACAGTTCAAACATTTTTTGATCGTCATGTTTAGGAATGCCTTTTAAAAAATCTGAGTTTTGAATCTATTGACTTAATATAATACTGAAAATTACGTGTAAAAAATATGATGAAATTTTTCAGAGATCGAAGCCGATTTTTTCGGCTTAACTCAATTTTTGATTTTTTTGATAGAAAAAAGCCATTTAACACCCATTTTAAGTATTTAAATTGAACATTCCATGCTTTACTATGATTCTGTGAAATATTTTTTCAGCATGTAGCTATAGTAAGCTCTGAATTTCAATTTAGCCGATTTTAAGCCGATCGGCTTAAATTTCGGCTTAACATTCTTTAACGTGAAATTCTGAGCTTCCTATAGCTACATGCTGACAAAATATTACACAGAATCATAGTAAAGCATGTAAAGTTCAATTTAAATACTTGAAATGGGTGTCAAATGGTTTTTTTCTATCAAAAAAAATCAAAAATTGAGTTAAGCCGAAAAAATCGGCTTCGATCTCTGAAATTTTTCATTACAAATTTTTTACTTTTATTTTTACTTTTTGTAATTTTTCTTCATTCATTCATTTTTTTGTCAGATCATTAAAGAAAATTTTATAACGACTTTTCCTTTTCTTTCTTTCTTTTCTTTGCACATTATCAAATCATCTCATTAGTAGAAACACCAATTGCATTTTCGTTTATGAAAAAAAAAAAAAATCAAACTAAAGAATTGTAAAAGTGATTTAAAGCCGCAATTTTTACAAGCTATACATCAAGCTATCATATATAGTCAATTGTCATCATTTTGTCTTGTATATTGAAGTCTGAACATGACAATAAGAGCAGGAATAATAATCATCATCATCACACATGAACAAGAAAGAGAATAGAAAAAGAAGAAAAATGAAAATTGTAACGGATATACTATAATAGATTTTTTAATGGCACTCACTCGAACATATTCAAATGTACACAGATGTGCATTATGATGATGATTTTTCTTTCCTCTTCTTATTTATTTCTACTATTTCATTCTAAATGCAGTAAGAGAATTTTCATTTTTTTTCTTTTTCATATTTCTCTTTCAAGTTGAATGTTTACGAAAAAAAGTGAGATAAAAATAAGTGACGATTAATAATTGCTGAGAGAAAAGTGGGAAAAGTGACAATTTCCTTGAAAACAAATTAAATTGAGGAGAAAATTAAAGGATCGAACACTTAGAATTAATCAACGTTTTGTTACATTAGTATTTCGCTAATATCTGTGAAAATTTACACCAAATACTAAAATTAAATTTCATATTGAACTTGTTATTTTTTGATAAAAAATTAGTTTTGCTGGAAGAATGAAAAATTAAAATTCAATGGGG